GGCTGGTGGGGATGAGCGGCGGCGGTGGCTCCGGCTCCCCTCCGCCGCCGCATGTGGGCTTGATCGGGGTTGTCCTGATGACCGACACCAGCACCCGCTTCGGGGAGTCCTGGCAGAAGATGACGGGCGGCGGCTGCGGCGGGTTGTCCGCCATCGGCGCCTCCACACCCCGGATCATTGCCCGGCTCGGATCTGCAGCTCCGGGGGCCGTGGGCCGCACTCCCTGAGCCCGGTCTGGTCCTTTGCTCCGCTCGCCCGCGCTGCTCCGAGTCGCCGGCTCTCAGTCCCGCCGGCTCATGGCAGGCGGATGTTTCCCTGAACCTTACTGCGCCGCGGCCAGCAAAAGAGCGGAGCGGCTCGGCCGGCACCAGGCGGCCACGGCCGGACCCCAACCCTGGGTCAAGCCTGCCCTTCGCTCTTTGTACTCCCCAAAACGGAGGCTGCAGCGGCGGGAAGCAGCGGGCTGCCTGCCTTGCGATGACAGGAAAGCAGGACGCGCGGCGCCGAGTCCCCGAAAATAACAACCTGCCGCCAGGCTCCCTGCTCCAGTTTTTCCCGCGTTACATTTCGCGCCTGGGCGGAACCAATCACCGCGAGGACCCTGCCCGCTGGCCGCAGCGGCGAGTGACAGGTCGCGCGAGCCAATGGCCGGGCCCGGACTTCTTTCTAGCCAGAACGGGGCGGAGCCGGAGCTGCGCGCGGGTCCTTTCTGGCACGCCATTGGCCGCCGCCCTTGTATTTTTTTCTGCCTGGAGAGCCAACAGCGTTCGAAACTCCAGGGGAGCGCGCGACGTCTGCACTCGCCCAGACACACCCTCCAGGAGCCCCGCCCCCGCCGACCCTCTGCGCGGGTAGTCAGGGTTGGAGGCGCACGGGGGGGCGGACAGGGGCTGGCGGCAAGAGAGTTGCTGATTGGAGAGGTGTCGGCGAAGGGCGGGGCCAGGGGCGGTCGTTGGCCGACGGGGGCGCGCGTCCGCCGGCCCCACCCGCCTGTGGCTGTTGGGCTGCGGTTCCCGCGCGGCTGGGAATTTAAAGGGCTGGGGCCTGGGCCGCCCGCCACGCCCCCGACTCCCGCCACCCGCTCGAGGGGGACCCAGGCCTTTCTACTGCAGTTTCTAGTGGACACCAAGAGGTGCCTAGTTTCTTAATGGCTCGCGTCTGCCCAGCTGCTGGATTCGCTGTGAATTGACCCTCTCCGCGCCCCCGACTCCCCCCAAGGCTGAGGTGGGCATCAGTCCCAGCCTTCGCCTCACCGGGCCTCGATTTTCCCCGTCTGTGTAAAGTGGGGTAGTTACGGAAGTGGTCTGAGGCCCCCGTGTGCTGCTCGCGGCTCGGAGGGCACACGAAGCAGGCGTGAGTCCATTCTACACACCCCGACGGATGCCCAAGAAGACGCCCCGAGGACTCCCCGCCCCCGCGCCGTGGTT